AACCCACGGAGTCCTCGGCTCCCCAGCCCCCCCGCTCTAACCACTAGGCCCCACTTCCCTCCCAGAGCCGGGGAGAGAACCCAGGAGTCCTGGCTCCCAGCCCTGTGCTGTGGTAAATTAATGCTGCTGCGAGCTAATCCCACGATGGCAGACAAGTGCAGAGCACCTCACGTCGGAGGGCGAGAAAGGCCGACTCCAGGTTGAGGCCTGGCTGGCTGGGGACCGCCGACAAGCAGTGGGGGCTACAGGGGCCACACACTGGAGGATTCGGCAACGCGACGCAGCTGTGAGAGAGGCGACTCTGGCGTGTGTTACCAGGAGCGTCGGACGGGAGACTGGGGCAGAGCCGCCGGGGTCCTCCCCCTGGCTTCCTCTGCCGTCCCAACCCCCCCCCCAGCACGCGCAGCCCCCCAGCCGACACACCTGCCTCTGCGACTCGTACAGGATCCGGTCCATCGTGTTGAGCAGCGTCATGGTCTTGTAGAACTTCAGCACCTGCTCCTGCGAGAGCTGCGGCGGGAGAGGGCGAGGAGCCGGGTCAGCGCCGGGCCTGCCACACCCAGCAACGGTGACGGGCTGGGGGCTGCGTCTCCCATACTGGAGATCCCGACTCGGCGATGGAGCCTAGAACAGCCCATGCCTGGGAGAAGCTGCGACGGTTCGGGCCCCTGGGTCAGGCGCTCGGTTACCACGGCCACGCCAGCCAGGTAGATTGGGGGGTGGGATGTGGAGTTTGCCCCAGGCTGGCAGGGAAGGGGTTAAAACAGCCTAGGGAAGTCGTGCAGGGGGCAGCCAATCAGAGACAGGCTTCGGGGAGCAGCCAATCAGGGCCCAGCAGGCTGACATAAAAAGGAGGGGCAGGGCAGCAGGGGCACTCCCTGCAAGGAGCCCAAGGAGAGGGGACTGTGCGCCTAGCAGCTGGAGGGAGGGAGCTCCTTGGACAGAGCAGTAGCTGGCAGGGACCAGGGGAACAAGAGGGAGCTCCTGGCTGGAGGCCCGGAGAGGAGGGCGAAGGTGCTGGGGCTGCGGAGAACTGAAGCAGCTCTGGTGGAGAAGTTAAGGAGAGGCAACAGGAGGTTGCTAGCTACAGGGTTCCTGGGCCAGGACCCGGAGTAGTGGGTGGGCCCTGGTGTCCCCCCTGGTGTCTTGGCCAGAGGATGAGAGAACTAATCCCTGAAATGGCCAGCAGGAGGTGCTGCTCTGGTGTGTGGCTCCATCACAAGGGGTCATGGTAACAACCAGCAGACGTTCCAGGGTCCAGCCCCACGCAGGGCGGTAGCAAGGGGTGGGAAGCAATGGGGTGAAATGCAGGGGAACAAGGGTAGGGGAGCAGTGTTTTAACATGACAGTGGGGGACAGACTAGGTGCATCCTGCCCTGCCGTGTGCCCAGCTGTGGGGGACAGCCCAGGGGACCATCCTGCACGGGTGGGGTGGAGGAGATGGGGACCCCCCTGATCCCGCCAGCATCTCGCGCTCACCTGGGGATCTTCATCCGGGTTGATGATCTGCCCCTGCCGGTCCATGACCCGGTAGATGGGGATCCCCGAGATCACGTTGGGCTGGATAAAATCCAGCTTGTCCACAAAGTCGGCTGAGGCGCCGGGAAACTGCGGCTTCTCCTCCAGGGAGGTGAACTGCTGCTGCCGGAGTACGCGCTGGGGGACAGGACACAGGTGAGGCAGGAGAGCATCGCCCTCAGACATGTCTCCCCCACGTGTCCACGCAGCACCACGGGAGTGACACCTAGCCAGCGGGCCCTGCGCGTGTAGGGACGTGTCGCTGGGCTGGGTGCGCTCAGGGCTTCTTAAACGATTGATTTATTCTTTGTATTGCAGCAGCACCGGAGAGCCCCAGTCGTGGGCCGGCCCCACAGGCGCCAGGTGCTGCACAAGCGCAGAACAAAGACCGTCCCTGTCCCTGAGTTTATAAGTTTAGTAAATCTAAAACGGCTGCATGCACACGCCATGGGCGTAATCCAATGGATATTAACGACACGGCTGCCCCTTTCCCCGCTAGCTAGGGCCTAAGGAAGCCGAGGAGAGGGTGGTAGCCGGCCCGTCTACGAATCCTGCAGCTTTTTTTAAGTTTCCTCCATGAATCGATTTGGGGCGCCCTTCCCTTTGGCCACACGCGACTCTGAGGCGGGGAGCATGACAAGGTTGTTCTAGGAGGCCTGGGGATTTTTGTTCTCTTCGCTAGGCTCCAGCGCCCTGTTTTAACAGCTGAGATCCGGGACTAGGGGCAGGTTGGACTGAACAAACACCATGTCCTTGTTTATGTTAGTTCAAGGCCACGAGAAGCGAGGACTGACATTTAAATCCGGCCCACTGGCGCCAGCTGTCAGCACCCGTCTGCGAGAGCGTGACCAGAAAGCGTCCCGGGAGAAAAACGGCCCAAAGTAAATACGCGTAAAGGTACAACGAGCTGTTATGGGACCAACTCCGGGGGGTGAGAGCGCCGAGCTCCGGAGGCGCACAGAGCTCCTCTGCAGGGCTGGGCCCGGGGCGCTCGGACAACGCCTCTCCCCCACCAGAAGTTGAGCCCATAAAAGGTATTCCCTCACCCCCCTGGTCTCCGCTATCAACACGCCATTGCCAACGGAAAACTGGCGTTTGACAAGGGCTCCGGGCCCACTTCCCTCCCGCCCCCCAGGATGGGCCAGTCAGGGCCGAGCAAACCCTCAGGAAAATGTAACCTGCCCCGTCGACATCCCCCTCCCGCCCCCCAGTACATTTCCGCTTTTGGCTAAAGGAAAAGTCAGCGGGGTGTGTTGAAACCCCACAACTAAGCACACCCCTAAGTACCAAACCTCCCTTCTGTGTCCCCTCTCGCGGTGGGAGCCCGCTGGCTGTCCCGGGCACAAAGCTCTGAGCTGCACCCAGAACGCACAACTGGCCCCAGCGCCCTCCACCTTAGTTCACAGTGGGACCCGCCGGCCAGCGCTGCGAGGCAGGGGTCAGCCCCCAGCGCGCGGCACAGCCACGAAGACCCAGACCCCACCGCCAGTAATGACACCCCGAGCCCCTTCTAGGGATTACAGCGGGGGGTGAACTCCTCAGTCCCCCTTCCCGCAGGAGCGGCCCCATGGGGGGGGACACCCGGTGCTTTAATAAATTAACCCTAATGGGCTTGTCCCGCCCCTGCAGGTCAGCGCGAGCCCCGCTGCCTGAACGGGGGAAACTGAGGCACCGGGCACGCGGCGCGTTGGGAACAAGGGACAGGGCTGGGAGCGGCCCCGGGAACCCCAGTTTGACTCCTCTGCTCCCAGCCCGGCTGGCCCAGGGAACCCAGGCGTCCTGACCCCCCAGCCCCTCCCAGCCAGGGGCTGCACGGACACTACCCGCCCCCCCAAGCCCTGGGGTAGGGCCCGATCCCGCCCGCGGAGCTGCGTGTAGAGCCCGGGGGTCCTCCAAGGGCAGGATCGGGGCCCAGCCCCCCGATCCCCCGCCCCTCCCCCCCCAGCCACCTCCACTCCCCCCCGCCCCCCCTCTGCC